CACACACACACACACACACACACACACACACACACACACACACACACACACACACACATATCCAGGTAAGAAGATAGAGCTGGGAAAGTCCTGAAGGAGATCTAGGGTATTGGCACCCCCAAGGTACGGATGGCTATGCTCACATGGGCTAAAAAAAGAATAAAAAAATAAAAAAAGAATTATAAAAAAATAAAAAAAGAAGAAGAGAAAAACCCCTCCTCTTGTGTTTCCCTGTTAGGATTGTACACTCCAACCCCCTTTGTTGTCTCCACCACTCGGGCGAAATGGGACCACGGAACCGTTCGCTAGCTTTCGTAAGGTAGTACAGTAGTCTGGCGCACGAACATGTAGAATAGGAATTAGCAACTGGGTCCTGACTTGGGCTGCGTGCGCAAGCTTACGAAAGTAAGACTCCCCGCCCTCGTGACGATTACGGAGGTTGCTTTCCGAGCAAGCTCCCCTGAACCTTTTGTCCTTTGCTCCTTTTTTTGCCTTTTCCTTTTTCCCGTTTCCTTGTCGATTTTCTCTGGGTTCCCCCCCTTTTTTTCCTTTTTCTTTTTTTCATTTTTTCTTTTCTTTGTCCTTTTTTCTTTCTTCCTTTTTTTCTCTGCCCCCCTTCTCTTGGCCTTCGTATAGCACTATGCCCACTGAAGAATATGCGTCCTTTTCGGCCACAATCGCAACCGATTTTCTGTGAAGGGTTCGATGACTTTTGAGACAAGGCTACCGATCGACACACATCCACAAACAAGGAACTCCATCAACGACGGTCCAGGCTTCTGCATCACCGACTCAATCCGATCGGAGTATACTTAAGCATGATGAGCTTGGCCTAGGGAGGCACTTTCGGTTGAGTGCGAATTCTGCGTGGCTCGACTGGAATCCAGTTTTGCGATTGCCGGTCGGAGGGTTCTGGGCGTGTTTTTCAGGAAGGGTGGAGTTTTTTCGGCAGTTTTCTGCACCTGCTACCAAGAGGCTCGAGACGCCGGGATGGACTTCCACATCGATCGGGACTACGAGGAGGACATCGCCGAGTCACAGGAAGGGGTATCGTCATGAAGCCTTTTGGCCTGGACCCGCTTGCTCCCTTGACGCTCCTCTGCTCTCTCGCTTTCTGCTTAGCGCTTGCGCCCAACGTTCTCATCGGGGCACTACTCTGTTGGGTCTGCCAGACGGAATGCGCAATGCTCTCCCGCTCGCAGCACTTCTCGCGCCTCATTCGCGCTACTGCTTTCTTCTTCGCCGCCCTCAGTGCTCTCTGTACCCTTGTGCTCCTCGCTGTTGTGCTCCTCCTGCGAGACTTGTTGGCTTAACCAGCTGAGGCACCATGCGCTGATCCTCCTTGCAGCCCTGGTTGACGCGAGGACTTCATCGGGACTCTCTCATTGAAAATGGGGCAAGTAGAGGCAGGCGAGAGATCGTCCATGGAACTTTCCGCTTGCATCTTCCTCGCTTACTTTGCCTTGCTCTCCCTGCTGGCTGTCCTCTTCTTCCTTGCCACTCTCCCGGCTACTACCCAGCAGGCACAGGACTCACGCTTCTCGCATCGCGAAATGTCAGCATGATCGGCAACCCGATCTTGGCACTTCGGCTTCTCCTCACGGTCCACGATCGCCAGGTGAGACTGGTTGTCCTCGTCCCTCGGCTCCCCCCCTGTGCAAGACGCCTGCATCCCATTCCCCTCCCCCCTCCCCCTCTTCCCCCACCCCCTCCCTGAGAGAAACCCCCTTGTCTTACTCTCGACCTTCCGACGACAAAGGAAGATCTCCCCTCTGATGACAGTGCCAGTGGCAGGCAGCAGAAAGGCCTCAGGGATGTGCCACCCCGCCTGTGGATATGCTTTGTTGTCCCTCGCACGAAGATGCAGTAATAGGACACAGTATAGCATGGTGCAGGTTTCTCTTCTTCTACGACTATCTTTTCCTCCCCCCCTGCTATCCCCCATGATTCTTTTGCTAAAAAAACTTTGAATTTTTCTCGCAATGACAATGTGATTTCTCGCTTCGAGCATATAACTCCTTTTTTTTAACTCCCTATGGTTCTTCTTTTGGTGTAATGCTTCTTCACCTTCTCCGATTTTTCGCCCTGGTTGGCACCCCCCTCTCTCTCTCTCTCTCTCTCTCTCTCTCTCTCAGACACACACACACACACACA